CAATACGTTATATTATACATGTATATACATATAGCTTTCTTTCCAATGACTAAAAATTAAAAACTTTATAGGGATACTATAGCTGAAATAAAATATAATAAACAAATATGCGATCAACATACGCAACATTATACATAAGAAGGCATTTTTTTATTGAAAAAAATACTAATTGAAAAATAAATATTTTGATTTTATTCATCAAGAAGCATGTATATTACATTGTACAGAAAATACATATAAATATAACAATGCAATACAAGAATGTACAGGTGCTAAAAATATAGTGTACATACCTACATATTAGTAATTACATTCTTAATATACATGTATACATATACATGCAAGTGCATACATACATATACACGTATGTACATATATATTGTTTGATTCTTAACCCTTGTTATTGAGTGTGTAATAAAATTTATGCATTGCAGAGTATTCAAAAAAAAAATGTATAGTACATTAATGATTCATAAATAAATTCGCAACATTGACTGGATTTAGAATTTCAATCCAGTAACCATCAGGATCTTTAATGAAGGCAATTCCTCTCATCTTACCATCGTTAGGCTTCTTCACAAACTCTACATTTAATTTCTCAAATCTTTCACATGCTTTATCAACATCAGGCACTGTAAGTCCAATGTGACCTATAAAGAATTTCTTGTTGAAAAACTTAAATCTCAAAACTCTTTTATTCTACATGGGTACTGTATGATATTTAAAATGTATTACCAAATCCTCTTGGTTCACTATTCCCATTATGGTATTGAGCGTCAGGATCTGTTTCAGTACCCCAGTTACTAAACAGATAAGAGAAGTGGAATTAGATTTTGAGTCATTACATGCTGTAGTCAAAAAGTTAATAATCAGTATAACTTCATTCTCTTTACACATACTGAGTAAGCTCTATAGTAGCTTTGCGGCTAAGTGTCCATTCTATACATTCTCTCCTATCACTTGGAATATCCTTTTCATTTTCATATCCCATAAAATACAAAGAGAATTTCATTTCAGGAACATCAAGTTTCTGTAATAAACGCATACCAAGTACTTCAGTATAAAAGGGTATTGATTTCCTTGGATCTTTAATACGATACATTGTTTGCTGCATAATGTATCCATTTGTTGCAGGATCAGGTTGCTTGCAAAGTTCCTGTACTTCACTATTTGTTAAACCTGAAGGTTCACCCATCTGCAACAATCATTAAAAAATTTTTATTAAGTATTGCAACATAATATAGTTGCGAGATTAAAAATTGTTATTATTAGTATCATCAAGACGATAAAAACTGTTTATCAGTTCTTTCTCGAGGTAACGTTGCTTAATCGATCTATAGATAAACTATCACGATAGCAATATTGGTATAAGGACATTAATGTCGATAACATTATTAGTTAATTATTAGTTAATCGGTTAAAAATATGATTCACGCAACGAATTGTAACAAACTAAAAGTGTAAATACAATTTTTTTGTTACGAAACAATTTTACTCTGGTACTGTATCTTCCATTAAAATTATGTAGGTTATATTTAAGAAGTACCAATTTTTATAAAACGAAGTTGTTGCATAGATGATAACATAAATTTACTAATAGTTCATTAATATAAGACAAAGAATAGATTATTTTTCTCTCAAACCTTACTTTTTGTTGCTTATTAAATATCGACGACTGTCTCTTGACCACACGATTACACACGAGACGAAAGTGTGCGAATAACTGTGCGATACTCATATCTCACCAAAAAGTGGAATATCTTTCATTGAGTGTATGTATGCATGTAACTGTATGTTATGTAGTGGTGTTACGTCGCTGTTTTACCTTGGTTTCACTGGTTTCACTTATCTGTCAAATCGAACAAAATAGTGTTCAGTTATTAGATATTAGGAGAAACAGCTGGATATTTAGCTTTTTACATAATGGCCCACTGGTTTCATCGCAATATGCTAAAAGCAACGACAAATCAAAAATTTGAATTCAAAATAGCTAATGCCACTGATAGTACAAGGAAATTGTGCAGGTTAGATATTAATAAAAATAATACAATAATGTTCCACAGATAACAGACATTTTACATTTCACGATTTTATAATAAATTCATACGGAACAATAGGAGTGTAAATAATAAACTATCATTGCGTGTATTCCATAGTGAACATTCACTTGACTTTTATATTTTTCAGCGATTTAAAACTGTCAAGAATACGTCTTTTAGACTTGATAAAAAATCCAAATAATTCGAGTGATTCTGTAGAACCAGCTTTCCATAGCTATTTAAGTTTATTGTATGGATTTATGTGGGAAATAAATTCATCTGCTGAGCAAGATCAACATAGTGGATGTCCAAATCCTAGTAAACTTAGAAATGTGCTTGTATTCAAGTGGACGCACACATTATTAGGATCAAATACTTAGTAATATATTTATTATATTTATATTGTTATTTTTTAATGCTCTATGTATATGAATATGTAATTGTAATTTTTTATTAAAGTTCCAGAGCTGACGCTGTTTATGAAGCAGCTAATATGAGTGTAAATGTAGGACTTTGGTTTATGAAACATGCTGCAATGATCGCTGCTAAAGATGAGTAAGTATTAAACATATAAATATTATCCTAATATTAGAATAATATTAGACTAATCTTATAATCTAGCATAAATATGAATGAAGCAAAGGATGTACATACAATGCTCAGGAGAGCTGCCGGAATATTTACTTTTGTACAAACAGAATTCTTGCCGAAATTGGCAGATCCTCCACCAATTGGAAGTGATCTGGATCCACGAATACTAATTGCATACGTAAATCAATGTACAGCAGAAGCACAAGAAGGTTGATTGACATACAACTTTACATTACTATTCATTATTAATTTTCAATATATATATTTTTTCATTTATATGGTATTACAGTTACAGTAGCAAGAGCAGTGGAATTAAAGCATAATGCTAGCTTAATATCAGCTTTAGCTAATGAAACAAGTAAATTGTTTCTAGATGCTGCTAATATTTTACGTCCGTTTAAGCCAGAGATATCGGCTCAATGGATTAAATATTTGGAACTGAAAGCATCATTTTATCGATCCTACGTAAGTGAATTGATAAATACAATATAGAAAAAATAAACTTATTAGCAAATTAATCTTTCTAGGCTTATAACTATTGTGGTGAAAATTTATTATCTATGGATAAATGTGGAGAAGCAATTAAAGCTTTGCAAGAAAGCGAGGCTTGTCTAAAAAAGGCTAATACATTATGCCAGGAGTATGGAAAAACAAAAGGGCCTGCTCCTAGAGTAAAACCTAATGAACATGTTGTATTTAAACGACTGGCTCCTACGGTCAAACTTACTCTTGACAAATGTAATCGAGAAAATGGTTTAATGTAAGTAGTGCATGCATTTAATCGAAAATACAATAATATATTTTTATAGAACTTTTTTTATCTAATGGTTACATTTGTTCATTTTTATTTCAAAGTTATCACCATACAATACCTGGAGAAGTTCCAGCATTAGATACAAAAGCTACTTTTGGTTTGGTAAGTCCTATCGATTTTGAAATGCAGCCTCATCATCCTCTTTGGAATTCGAATGTATACAATAAATTATGTAGCTTAAACCCAGCTACTATAGAAAAAGAACAAAATTTGCCACCTGTTAAAGAGGATGAAGTTCATCATAGCACCAAGGAACCCAGAAACGAAAGTGGCTGTATATTGCAATAAGCTTAACGTTAGCAATAGTCAATTAAATTCACCGCGTTTTCATTGCAACAACACGAAGTTTTGCTTTAAACTGTTATACAGTTGACAATCCAGTATTGCATAACTATTTTAGTATTTTTGTTTCACGCAACCAATAGTATGTGTACACGTGCTTTTAACTAAAAGATACAGCATGAATTATACTCACGATAAATGAGTCGTCGAGAAGAATATTTTCAAGTAAATGAAAGAATATGTACTAAGTTTTTATATTTCCAGTACATTCTAATCATTACTGACATAATATACATATATACGCTTCAGGTCTGTGCAATAGATAATATATGCAATGCATACAAACTAATGTATTTTATAAATAATTTATGTGATGGCGATTTTAAAAAAATTTACAAAAGTTTATTATTGATGAGTACTTCGAAAACTAGTCAATA